AAACACTTCAAAATTCCCCTCAAAGTTTTTAAAATGATCCATTAGGTATACAGTAATTTGTTGTTTAATTTCCAATATTTGATGTTTCTCTAGTTATTTTATCATTCCTGAGTACTAATTTAATTTCATTGTTCTAATATATATATATATTTGATGTCTACATTTGAAATTTATTGAGACTTTTTTATGACCCACCATATACTCTGTCTTGGTGATGTTCCACATGGATTTGAAAAGATTGTATAATTCTATTATTAATTGCAATAATCTATAAATTTCAGTGGGGTTAAAGAAGTTGATAATGTTTAAATCTTCTGAAACTTTTCTGCTTTTGTTTAGTTGTTTTACCAATTCTTGAGAGAACAGAGTTAAAATCAAGTATGATGTGAATTTGTCCATTTCTTCATTTAGTTCTGTCAGATTTTTGCACCATGTATTTACAAGCTACATAAATAGGCCATCCACATGTATAATTATGTTCTCCTGATGAACTGACTCTTTCATCGGTATGAAACAGGCCTTTGATTCTGGTAATATATCTTATATTTATATCTATCTGACAGTACAGCCATTCATTTTCTTTTGTTTGCAGTTTTAACAGCATGTCTTTTCTCAATTTTTACTTTAAACACATTATTGAGCAAGCACAAACATAAAGCAGACAGCAGAAACTTGTGATTTTTGTTATTTTGAAAAGATAAATATAAAGAGAAGTCTAATGATTAGACTGCTATCTACATTTACATGGGTAATTGCCTGTTTTTGGTAAATTTCCTTACATTATGACTGTCTACTATTGCTTTTCTCCCATCTGTAATTGTCCATTGCTGGACAATTACAAGCTTTTCATTTGCATTTGAGATGCACTGATAGAGAAGATGTCAGTTATAAAATTGTTGAAATCATTTTACTGAAATGTGCTTAAAAAAAAAAACCTCTTAAATGTCCATTGAATAATGATGAATGGTGAAGTTCAAAACACTCTGAATTTCATCATATATTTGTGAATTATATTTAAAATTAAAAAAATAAAAGAAATTAAAAAATACCTTTGAAAATTTTACATTATTATTTTTGGAGATAATAAAATTCAATAGTTTGAACTATTAGGTTGTTGAGAAAAGAAAAAGGAAAATAGGTAAGAACTCTTCAGTCAATTACAAACCTAAATATTTATGGCTTTGTAAATTATATTGATTCTCAAATAAATGGTACTCTGATTTTCACTAATCAAGCTATATTGTGAGAATAGACTCATCTCACAACATTAACTATTTTTTTTATTTAACATTTATCTTCTTTCTTTTCTTTCTTTTTCTTTTCTTTTTTTTAATACCTTATGATTCAGGAAATTTGCTAGGTACATTCCCAGTTCTTGCTTGTTAAATATAAACTAAAAAGGCATGGGTGGTAGTAGGGGATTACAAACAACCTTAGATAAATATTCTTAATGCTGTTATCTTTCTAGAAACTATGCTACTCATTTCACTGAAATCTTCTCAGTAGCCTTCTCAGTTAGTTACTAAGGTATGAACAAACTTCATATGAGTGACAAAAGAGAACAGAACAAACTAAAAGGAAACAGAACAGAAACTTTCTCTGTAGATATTAAACATTCTCTTCTTAGAATTATGTGGAAAAAAATAACAAAAAAGGAAGAAATAAAATGACACAGTTTTCCCCTTGCTACAGTCACTTTCATCACTAATGCTGAAGAATAAAGTGACAATAGAATTTCTAAGGGCCCAAAGCCAGTCTTTTTTTTTTTTTTTTTAAATAAGGAGTTAATGTTTGGGGTTGTTGGGAGTATGTATGTGCATTTTAACAATAGCAACTGATCTTCAAAAAGGGTGAACAAAATTAAAAGTGTGAGATTCCACTCAAATTATCCACATTTAACCCAACTCCAAATTAAAATTAAAATTTAAGACATCAACAGAACACCACTGGGAAAAATCTCAGGTAGGAGCATTTTTTAATATATTAAACTCATTAATTCCTTTTTATTTTAAAAATAAAATAATTGGGATCTTCTGCAGTTAAAAAATAACCTGTGTATAAGAGTGGGACTACTATGCATCATAAAAAAGTACCTGTAAATGGGAGTAATTTTTCTATATTAAAAAGCTTTTGTTAATCTAAGATGAATAATTGGTATTAAACTCAAATTAAGTAATGAAATGTAAATTACCGTTTGAAAATTCCTGGCTTAGAGAACATTTTTTTTTTTAAGTTTATTTATTTTAGTCATCTCTACACTCAACATGGGGCCCAAATTCCAACCCTGAGATCAAGAGTTGCGTGTTCTACCTACTGAGCCAGCCAGGCGACCTGAGAATATTTAAATAAACAATTTTTCTTTAAAGGCATCTATTAAAAAGACAACTAGAACAGCTGTCTATGCTAATCATATAATATTGTCTTTCTTGTTGTTAATAAAGAATAAGACCCCCCACTCTTTGAATGTGCTTAACAAAGATGTAATTATTGCTCATTATACATCAGCTTTAAAAATCAATTCTCTTTGGGGTGCCTGGGTGGCCCAGTCGGTTAAGCATCTGCCTTTGGCTCAGGTCATGATCCCAGGGTCCTGGGATCGACTCCTGCATGGGGCTCCCTGCTCAGTGGGAGTCTGCTTCTCCCTCTCCTCCCCGCTCATTCCCTCTCTCGCTATCTCGGTCTCTCCCTCTCAAATAAAATCTTTAAAAAAATAAAAAATAAAAATCAATTCTCTTCAGTTTCTTCAAATATTCTTTAATGAATAAAAATAGATGGAGGCATAAAAACAATCTCAAAATATTCAGGACACTGACTCCATAGTGAATATCACTGAATATTTTTTAAATAATAAAATTAAGCACCCTAAGAAAGCCTTTGACACTTCCTGTCAGTTCTTCCTACTTCCGTTTTACTTGTTGATTTTTTAATTAAAACTCAGACCAAGGGAGAGGCTCTAACTGAATAGTTGAACATTACAGACTTTGACATTAATATTTTTTAAGGTAACAGTTGTTATTTTTTTTTTTTAAAGATTTTATTTATTTATTTGACAGAGAGAAGAGCACAAGCAGAGGGAGTGGCAGAGGGAGAGGGAGAAGCAGGCTCTGCACTGAGCAGGGAACCTGATGCGGGACTCGATCCCAGGACCCTGAGATCATGACCTGAGCCGAAGGCAGACGCTTAACCATCTGAGCCACCCAGGTGCCCCGGTAACAGATGTTATTAAGCTTGCTTTGTTCAAAGAGATTCAGGCTGCATGTTAAGCCAAAGGTCAGGGAGATTTGACAAGTGCAGCAAAACACTTATGTTGTCAGTATAGAAACCACATTAGTCATACATATAGTGTGCTCTTAAATATTTAACAGGCTTACCAAACATTAAAAGCCCTAATTTGTAGTGTTTGTCAATTCCTGTGGCATAATACTCCCATGTGGCTGATTTCAAGCTACCAAAATGACATGAACAAATCTAAAATTGGAAAATACACACAGTAGCCCTTATGTAGTATCTCCACATATAGATCCAAATAGATGTAAATAGTTAATAGTAGAATATAGTAAAATAAATAGGAAATGGGTTTTGAGTATTGATTACCCTTCTAAAAATATAATGTGTTTCACTATAAGTGTATATAATTTAATTTTTATGCCTGTCCTTAACTGATAGCTCATAAAATTCTTGAAATTCTAACAGTGATCAAATATAAAAGCTCTACTTCTGCACACCACTGTATAGATTCTAGACCCAAAACCACCCCAGCAATATAAACTGGTATGGAATCCAGATATCTCTTCCAGTTTTTACTTTAACATCTGATAAGAACACATGACTGAATGCCCCCAATAGTCTACGGCATCATTTCTGTTAAATTCCCTTCTCTCTTCCTGATTCCATTCTGGCCTCTAGTAGTAGCTGCTAGCATTATTATTATTATTATTATCATCTAAGTGTTAGAAAAGCAAATTATTAGTGATCATCTTTGTAAGGGAACCTTAATACTACTTAATACTACTCATTCTGAATAGTTATATATTTCTGTTCTCACACTATTTATTATCATTGTATCATTAATACAAATCAATTGAACAATAGTGGGATACAGTAAAAAGTCACTAACTTTGGAATTCACACCTAGCAGAAGAAAGTCATTTAAAATTTCTGACCTCTCACTTTATGTGTTTGATATAATATTAATGTGTATACTGTTTATAGAAATCCCCAAAGAAATCAATTGTTATAATTATAATAATAAATCCGCAGCATACTTAAATCCTAAAGAATGGCTGATTACTGGGCATAAAGAGGATTAACCCATTATACACTTTCCTAACTAACTCACCACCTGAGCACAGACTATAGGAGGGCAACTGTATTCAGTGGGCAAAATCAGACATTCAGATTAGATTTTACTAGACTGATTGTTACTGGGACAAAATGAATACACTACTTTTATGGTATCATGCAAATAAAGCCTCAATATCATTAAAGTGAAATCCATTTAGGGCACCTGCGTGGCTCAGTCAGTTGAGCATCGGACTCTTGATTTTAGCTCAGGTTATGATCTCAGGGTCCTGGGACTGAGCCCAGCTCTGGGCATGTCACCTACTTAGGATTCTCTCTCTCCCTCTCCCTCTGTCCCCCCCTCCCCTCTCTCTCTGAAAAAAAAAAAAAAAATGAAGTCCATTTAATAAGTTTCTCAATAGCTTTATAACAACATATAAACATAGCTTAACAGCTGATGCCCATTTCTCTTTAACCAACTTTGCCTGGGTTTGGTGTCAATTTATTCTCTTTCAATTCCTTCACAGAATCTTAGAATTTTAGAGCTGAAGAGTACCTTATAAACCGGAACTCCACATCCTTCATTTGACATATGAGAAAAGCTAGGCTGCAAGAGGATACTTGACCCCTGCCCAGTGTCATGCAGTTAATTATTAACAGAGCAGGACTACAGACTCCACTGTCTACCAGCACTGAAAGACATTAGAGTAAACCATTACCTCTTGAAGAACTCTTTTCATCTTTAATAACAACGTCTTGACGGCTGTGCAGTCCTGTAACATCAGTCTGAAGGGCAGAGAATCAAGGCCTCCATTTTCTTCCACACCTTGCAGGGGCCAGTCTGCAGATGGACTGCTGGGCATTCGGCTGATATGGGAACACCTGACTTCCTGATCAATGTCTTTTGTTAATTTCAGGGAAAGATTCCTAACAAGAAAAAAAAAATTACAATGTAGCATATTCAGAGCAGTATTTTCCAAGCTGTTGATCAATGTCAGGAATGAGCTAGAAAAAATTTCTTGTGACTGGCATCATTTCTTCTCACTGGTTTTTGAAAATTCTGAGACCCTTTTGTCAAAATTATGAAATAGGTCAACTGTATTTTTAGTAGTAAGGTTCAACGATAATCACTATTTTAGAATGTGATTTTTTCCCTTTTGAGAATTTCATTTATACATAACACTGTGCTTATACTTTCTTAAATTAACACTTTTTAAAATGTTGAAAGTCAACAGAAATCACCAAAAGAGAAATTTCATATCTTTTCTGAAAATATGTTTAAAAATTAATTGGAAATAAAAGATTAAGAAACCCAAAACTAAGATAAAATAATTTTGTTAATTATTATTTTAAATTACTAAAGCAATCAATGGCCATTTTCAGAGTTAAGAAAGACTTGTATACGTAAGATTTTATGTAAAAATAGTAAAATAAATGGAAGATGAATAACTTCATATGTAGTTAGTATGTTTATCAAATTATCATTAAATTTTTAGCATAGTAATGTGTGGAAAAACACACCCATATATTTACCCTGTTCTACTTGATAATCAACAATTATTTGAAAATATTGCATTTTGAAAATCCTCTAACAAGGCTTATATTGACAATATATGTAAAATAAAAGATACTAAGATCGACAATTTTCCAGATGTGCAGATCAGGAATCTAAAAATAGTACAAAAGAGGAGTTAATGAAAATAGTCTTTTCCACTGAGTTTTCTGAATTTGTTTCCATTTCTTAAAACCCAGGGGCCTCTGCAATAATGACAATTAACATGATAGCATAGCTCAGGCTATTGATGAAAAAATAGTTTAGGACTTGTGCTCAATTTTAGTAGCTTTTATGTATATTATTTCCTGAATTATATAACAAGGTCACTTAGCAACCTAAATTGGAAAAAAAAAAAAAAAATAGAGTAGCCTTGTAACTTGCCACCAAGATTAGGAAAAGATGCCAATAAGAAATATATCCTCGGGGCGCCTGGGTGGCTCAGTCGTTAAGCGTCTGCCTTCGGCTCAGGTCATGATCCCAGGGTCCTGGGATCGAGCCCCGCATCGGGCTCCCTGCTCTGCGGGAAGCCTGCTTCTCCCTCTCCCACTCCCCCTGCTTGTGTTCCCTCTCTCGCTGTGTCTGTCTCTGTCAAATAAGTAAATAAAATCTTAAAAAAAAAAAAAAGGAAATATATCCTCAGTTAATTTTATTCAACTCTGATTATTCATGATAGTAAATTAATTTTTTAAAGATTTTATTTATTTGAGAGAGAGAGAGAATGTGTAAACAGTCGGGGAGGGGGTGGAGGGCAAAGGGAGAGGCAGAGAATCCCAAGCAGACTCTGTGTGGAGTTTGAGTCTGGGCTCGATCTCCAGACCCATGAAATCATCACCTGAGCCAAAATTACAAGTCTGACGCTTAACCAACTGAGTCACCCAGGTGCCCCCATATAGTATAATTAATTTTTTTAAAAGATTTTATTTATTTATTTATTTGAGAGAGAGAGAGAGAGAGAGAGAGAGAGAGAGAGACAAACAGCATGAGAGAGGATAGGGTCAGAGGGAGAAGCAGACTCCCCGCTGAGCAGGGAGCCCGACGCGGGACTCGATCCCAGGACTCCGGGATCACGACCAGAGCCGAAGGCAGCCGCCCAACCGACTGAGCCACCCAGGCGCCCTAGTATAATTAATTTTTAAAGTATTAGATAATTAGTAAATAAAACACACTTTTGGATTACACTGAATTTTTCACTTATCTTCACAGATACATTCATTGATCACAACTGTCCTTTGAAGTGATAAGACAGTAATTACTGTCTTCATTTTGTATCGATAATAAAATAATAAATAAATAGTAATAGGGATGTTTGGGTGGCACAGTTGGTTAAACCACCGACTCTTGATTTTGGCTCAGGTTATGATCTCAGGGTTGTGGAACTGAGCCCTGGATTGGGCTCTGCGCTCAGCTGGGAGTCTGTTTCCTCTCTCCCTCTCCCTCTGCACCCACTCATGCTCTCTCCCTCTCTCTCAAATGAATAAATAAATCTTAAAAAATATATTAATAGCTAAAAATTTTTGAGGGCCTACTTATAGGCCAAATACTGTGCTAACCATTTCATGCATGTAATTCACTCAAATTTTGAACAAGTTCGAGGTAGATATAATAAGTATCTTAATCTTATATGAGGAAACTGAGGTCCAGATAAGTAACTTATCTCAGAGTTAAAAAGCTAGTAAGAAGTAGACTTGGGATGAATCAACCTAGGCACTCTTGCAAGACTTTTTTTTTTTTTTTTTTCCCCTACTAAACACATAATGTGCCTATATATAACAATGCTTAATGCATCTCAGGTAGTCTTATAAGGACTTTTACATGTTAAACCACTTACTACAACTCTTTAGGTAGTATTATTATCATCCCCATTTCATAGTTGAGGGAGTTTAATATCAGAGAGGTGAAGTAACATGGTGATGGTCACACAGCAAAGAAGGGAAAGAGCTGAGATTTGAATGCAGACAGGGCACTCAAGCTCTAAGCCACTACATGAGTCTGTATCTCATGTGAAAAACAAGAAAATAAGCCAAAAACTAAAAACAAAAAGCCAAAAAGATAAAAGTAAACATAAAACCCTACAATTATGCAAAGAATCATTTATATTTTCACTTTTAAAATATATTTTATCTAATATGACATTCATCTGAATTATGCACAACTTGTGAACCATGCAATCATTCTTAAAGGTTTCCATTTTATTTTAGTGTCTTCTATCCTATTTTCTCTAAGACTGATAAGAATAAAATGGAATATAAAAATTATATTTCACAGTATGTGTAATAGTTTATTTATGATAGAATTTTCAAAGATTAATCAGGTTTTAGTTGTGAACCACCCTGGTGTCTGGCACAAATTAGGCTGACTTGGTAAATAATTGTACAACTGAAGTTGAAAAATGAATATAATAATGAGTGAATGAATAAAACATATTTTTTGTAATAATCTATGCAATATATCTCTCATTTGTATACATAAATTTTTATGCAAGGTGAATTGTTATGCATTGTAGGGCTGCCACAGTTCAAAACTTCCTAGCGCTCTTACAATAAAGTAATTAAGCTAATGTTTTTATAATTCCTTTTAGTTAGATTGCTATTTCTTTAGACCTTTTTGTGCAATCACAGATCTAAACATCAGTAAAGACTGACAAATGTTTCAGAAACCACACAGGTCTGAAGTTTTGTGACTAATTTCAGTTTACTGAGGTTCTGTGGATTACAGTTTAACATTTACAAATCTAAGAATCCCTGTAATTTTCAGAGTTAAGAATGGACTATATACAAAAATGCTTAGAAGATAAATTAACCATTTGTTTTATAATTCAAAAAACCTGAATGTATCCTTAATTCCAACAAGGGAGAATGATGGCATTTTTTTCACAATTACAGAAAATATCCATATTGTGTCCAGCAGAGCAATGGTGGCTGAAGTTGCAGAGCTTAATAGGATACAGTCACTGACCCCAAGAGGCTCACCACAGTTATTAAATTTTTAATAGGTGATACCAAAAAATATATATGTATCAGTTACAGTTGACCCTTAAACAACATGGATTTGAACTCTGTGGATCCATTTATGTGTGGACTGTTTTCGATAATTACAGTACAATACAGGAATTTTTTTCTCTTCCTTATGATTTTCTTCATAACATGTTCTTTCCTCTAGCTTACTTTATTGTAAGAATTCAGTATATAATATACATAACATACAAAGTATGTGGTAACTGACTGTTACCGGTAATGCTTCCATTTAATCCCAGGCTATTAGTAGTTAATTTTTTGGGGGGGGTGTCAAAAGTTATACACAGATTCTTGACTGTGCGGGATGCGGTGCCTGCAACCCCTGGGTTGTGCAAGAGTCAACTGTAACATTCTCTTGCACATGAAAAACGAATATTTTCACCTCAAAAGATTTTATTTCTATGTGAAAAATAGTCGGCCACCATAATCAAAATCATTCTTTTTTTTTTTTTTTTATAGCCATTCAGTCAGAATGTCTAAAATCATTCTTAATTAGGTTGAGGTAGTTAGTGAAATAGGCCGTTAAATAGGACTACTACTCAGTTGCACAGGATAGCACAGCCATCCTATTGTATGTTTGTGACCATTATATTTCTGAATGATAACTCCCCGAGGTTTACAACTGCTAAATATTTTAAATCTCAATTTTTTTAACAACAGACTTTTATTGCGCTAAAAATACCGAAGTGTCTCTGGGTAAATTCATCTAAAAAAAAAATCCCATCTCTGTAGTTGACGAAAAAAAGAGAGAAAAATCTCTACTATGGAGCCACAGTTTCCTCTTGCACAGACCACCCATAAGGCCAGGAGGATAAAGTGAGGTTCAAGTATTCCCCATTTATGCATTAGCAGGGATCACTAGATAATACAATCTGTGCACTTTGGGACATAATAGCTCTCTGTCTGCCAACGCTCTGAATTATTATAGTTTCAGAAAACTGAACAAATAGGCATTATATCAAAAAAGTTAGACAGTCCCTTAACTTGGCCAAAAAAAGCAGAGGCTGTGGGGGGGAAACTGAGGCCTGATACAGTGGTTCATTAATCACCATAACTAGTACAAACAAACAACAACGACATTGTAATCTCCGCTGAACACATTTATATACACTTTACCCTCTCTGTGTCAACTTCATGAATCTTCGGTAGAACTGCTCAGTAATTTTTACACTTGCCTTGTTGCTCATGAATGATCTTTAAGTCTTTATAACTTAAAATTTAACCCATAGTTTTTCCACAGCAAAGGAAGCCATCAACCAAATGAAAAGGCAACCTACTGATTGGGAGAATATTGCAAATGATATATCTAATAAGGAATTAATATCCAAAATACATAAAGAACTTATACTACTCAATAC